ACTACGGACACAACTAAAGTTTTGGTTAGCTTAAATCATCTCAATGTAGTACTTAGAAACCACTTATGGCAACATGACACTGAACAATTTAAAACTGAACACTGAACCTATAATAATTTAAAGTTCTCTTGTTGAGTTATATTTACTTAAAAAAGTCGATTGAAATTTTTTGTTGGACGTCAATCGGATGTACCTACGTACGTAACTGACATCTTACGCACCACAAAATTCATTGGATTCAGTTTTTATACCGTTTATGGCTTTTATGGTAGAACCCTTTGTATTTTCAATATTGTAGCTCTTATCGTTTAGTATCTAGACACAATTATGATCTTACCATGTAGTGACGGTGTAAGATTATATTCACTACCCCATATTGTTCCGTGGGTGTCGTAACTAGTGGTGGGTCAAAGTCGAATTTTTGATCGACGAAACGCAACCATTTTCCTGACGACGAAAATGGTTGCAGAAAACGGTCGTCAATGCAATTGGTTTGAAGACGGCTTAAAAGACGAAACTTATCCAACATGGAAATAGAATTGCGTTTTCGTCGAGTGAAATGGTAGCAGTTTCTTACAACTTTCAACAATTTGAAATGTATGAAATGGTTTACAAAATAATTCGTTTTATTGATCGACTTTACTTAACGATGAAATGAACTTCTTTCATACTTTTCCAGGCTTAGGACTGGCTGGGACAGACTTAGCATTAACATTAGCAACTGTATTTAATTGACAAAAAGTTCACTTTTTATTGTAAAGACTGTTTAGTCTCTGTTTTCGTTTGTAAACGAACAAAACCAAAGACTACAATATAACGCGGAACGTTAAGGACGACGACGCGACGAGTGAGATAGATAGTTGAATGATAGAATGAATTTATACATATATTACACATGGTAGATCCATGCTGCAGTTATATTAGTAGTATAGTTGTAGTATGAATGGGTCGGCTCAACCGGGGAAGGAACACGCTCTCACAGAATACTAGCTTGAAATAGTAGCTTAATGCGGCTGTGTTTCGTATGGTGAGTGTAGAGAACCGGAGACCCTTTTTGTTGGAAACGAGGCATTCCACCTTCCTCACGTGTGACAACGCATTTGCATTTTGAATCGCATACGAGGATAGATTTAGATGTCTATGGGCCCACAGCAACCACTTACCATCAGGTGGACTGTGTGCTCGTTAGTCACCCTATCCTATAAAAAATGATTGCGCATTCTCGACTGTATTTTCATAGCCTGGTTTGTGCAACGAAGACTGTTTGAATCCAGAACGTAAAACGGTTTCATCGTAGCAGAACACAAAACGGTCTTTGTAAACAGTTCGTGGTCGCAACGCCCGCCTCTAGTCGCAACAGGCAACAGGGGATACTGAAACCGGAGATAGGCAGCAGCATCTTCCTGATAACAATTCAAAATAATAAAAACTGCGTTTAGTAACCCGCCTGCCAAGCGTGGCAACTATATTAAAATCCCTCCTTCGAAGCAATCCATGGGCGAGGCCTATGTTCAGCAATGGATTTGGTTGTAGTGGACTAGTGGAAATGAAAATCTTTTTGCTTGAAAACGTAAACTTTGGGATTTTCAAAAATTGCTTCAAAAATTGATTGTAAATTTAAAAAAGAAAGCAATAAAAAAATTTTATAGGATAGTATGACAAACGAGAACCCAGTCCACCCGATGGTAAGTGGTTGCTGTGGCCCATAGACATCTACATCTATCCTCGATTACGAATCAAAATTCAGATGCGTTGTCATCCGTGAGGACTTAGGTGGAATGCCTCGTTTCCAGTAAAAAGGGTCTCCGGTTCTCTACACTCACCATACGAAACACAGCAGCATTAAGCTACTATTTGATGCTGGTATTCCGTGAGAGCGTGGTCATTCCACGGTCGAGTAGACCCATTCGTGCCACAACTATACTACTAATATAACTGCAGCATGGCTCTACCACGTAAGTTAAATAAGGTTTGAAAAAATAATCATGACAGATCTGGGGCTAGGTGCTTAAGTATCCTGCTATCCTTTCATAGTTCTCGTGCACACATAGTTACAATTGATTGATTACTTTATAAAATACTAATTTATTTGCAAAAATGCTGATTACCAAATGGTCGGCATTTTCATGCAAGGCATGAATGCATAGGCTTTTGTTAAGCTAAAACAGTGTTATTTCCACCTTCGGCTGTATTTTTACGTGGTAGACCCACGCAGCACCTATAGCGTATAGGTGGTTGTAGCACGAATGGGTCGGCTCGACCGGGAAACACCACGCTCTCACAGAATACCAGCGTAAAATAATAGCTTAATGCTGCTGTGCTTCGTGTGGTGGCTCCCCCAAGGATTGCCACAAAGCAATTTGAGGTTTACCTGCCGTTCGCCGTTTATCATTTACTATCTGATATTATGAGAATGACAAGCTCGTGGAAACTGTCCATGCGGTCGGAGCTAAGTTCTGCAAGACCCGCCGCAGAAGAACACAAAAACTCTCCGATCACACTCTTAATCTCATGGCTGTTAGACGGGAGATGAGGCTGCAATCGTCAACAGATTTGACAGCATACAGGCAACTGAACAGACAGATCTCCAAATGCATGCGGCGAGACTTACGCAACTTTAATACTTCTCGTATTAAAGAAGCGATCGAGCGGAACCAGGGCTCCAAAGTCTTTGCCAGAGATCTGTCTGCCAGAAAGAGCCAACTGTCAAAGCTGAAGACTGAGTGTGGCAACATCGTTTCCGGGACACCTGAGATTCTGAGTGAGATTGAGAGGTTCTATGGGCAGCTGTACACATCATCGTTGGAGCCACACTCAAGTGTGAGTAACGATCCAAGAGCAAGTCTTATCCGACACTATTCCGATGATATCCCGGACGTCAGTCTGAGCGAGATTAGAATGGCTCTCCAACACCTTAAAAACGGCAAGGCCCCGGGCGAGGATGGAATTACAGCGGAGCTTCTGAAAGCGGGTGGAACACCGGTACTTGAAGTCCTTCAGAAGCTCTTCAATTCCGTCCTCCATGGTGGCACTACTCCAGAGGCGTGGAGCAGAAGTGCGGTGGTCTTGTTCTTTAAGAAAGGCGACAACGCTCTCTTGAAGAACTACAGACCGATTTCCCTTCTGAGCCGCGTCTACGTGCTGTTTTCGAGAGTCGTTACGAATCGTCTCGCAAGCAGGCTCGACGACTTCAGCCTCCCGAACAAGCCGGTTTCCGAAAAGGCTTCAGTACCATAGACCACATACATACCCTGCGGCAGATTGTACAGAAGACTGAAGAGTACAATTTGCCACTTTGCCTGGCGTATGTGGACTATGAGAAAGCCTTTGATTCCGTCGAAATTTGGGCGGTGCTGCAGTCCCTTCAGCGGTGCCAAGTTGACTGTCGGTATATCGAAGTGCTGAAGTGTTTGTACAGTAGGGCTACGATGGCTATCCGAGTACAGAACCAGAGCTCGAAACCTATCCAACTGCAGAGAGGTGTAAGACAGGGTGACGTTATATCCCCGAAACTCTTCACCGCTGCTTTGGAAGACGTTTTCAAGCTACTGGACTGGAAAGGATACGGTATTAACATCAATGGCGAGTACATCACTCACCTTCGATTTGCCGACGATATAGTCCTTATGGCAGAATCGCTGGAGGACCTTAGCACTATGCTCAATGACCTCAATGGTGTCTCCCAACGGATAGGTCTTAAGATGAACTGGACAAAACAAAGATTATGTTCAATGTCATGTATGCGCTATGCTCGAAGTTGTTGACGAGTACGTTTACCTGGGACAAATAGTCCGACTAGGTAAGTCCAACTTCGACCGAGAGGTCAATCGACGGATTCAACTCGGCTGGACAGCGTTCGGGAAATTACGACACATCTTCTCGTCAGGTATACCTCAATCTCTGAAAACTAAAGTGTACAACCAGTGCGTGTTGCCAGTGATGACTTACGGATCAGAGACGTGGTCCTTCACTGCTGGCCGTATGAGGACGCTCAAGGTCGCTCAGCGAGCTATGGAGAGGGCTATGCTCGGAGTTTCTCTGCGTGATAGACTCAGAAATGAGGATATCCGCAGTAGAACCAGAGTGACCGACATAGCCCAACGGATTAGTAAGCTGAAGTGGCAATGGGCCGGCCATATAGCTCGAAGAACCGATAACCGATGGGGAAGAAAGGTTCTCGAGTGGCAGCCTCGTACCGGTAGGCGTAGTGTAGGGCGACCCCCCACTAGATGGAGTGACGACCTGGTAAGATATGCAGGAAGTCGATGGATGCAGGTGGCTCAGGACCGTGCTTTGTGGCATTACTTGGGGGAGGCCTATGTTCAGCAGTGGACTTGTGAAGGGCTGTAATGATGATGATGATGAATGATGATCTGATATTATAGTGGCCAAGCAGTGGCTTCTACTATATCAGCCCTAGAAATCCACTGTGGCCAATGGCCTGCCAACCAAAATACCAAATTTTAATGTTTGGAAATACCAGACGTCTCTCACCTTGACGCTTCTGCATGTCCCCGATCTGAGATTTTAGTTTGGCGAAAGCAAAATTGAGATCGGACGAATTGAGATGAAAGACGCAGCCACAAAACGGCTAATTTAAATTGCAGCTCGTACTTGTTTTCTAAGCCAGAGCTTAAATCTAAATATAATTAAAAAAAGATGGAACAAAGACATAGGTTTTATTAGCATCAATACAATATACATTTGGAAGTAAATAAGAACATAAAAACACAAGGTACAAGATGTTATACATAATTAAAAATAAATCTCGGCAAGAATGAGTGATGTGATGCCAAAAAGGATTCCGTCTCAGTATATACTACCACAGGTACTGCAGCAGCGCTGATTTTTAGCGGAGCCCTGATAAATATTAATTCTGTATTGCTCCCGCGTCCTTATCGTTGTGCTAACTTTCCATTTAAAAAATAATGAATCATAGCTCTCATCTGCTCGTCTGATGAGTTTCGCACCCACATGAAAAACCTTACACATCTTTACAGAATATGGCCGGCTGTCCTCCGCCAAGCGACGTACGGTACGATAAAATTCGGCACATATTATTCACTCAAGAATGTATTGGCTGCGAGACGAGAAGATGGTGGCACCAAGGAGCACTTAGCCACGAATACATTCTGCGCGGCTTTCGCCGGCGGACTCTCGAGCGCCATTGCGAACCCAACTGATGTTCTGAAAGTCCGGATGCAGGTGAGATCATTTTATTCATATATGAGGGGCGGCTGATAAGTTCGCGGCCTAAGGTACTTAATGAAAGAAAATATATAGTTTCTATTTTTTATTTTTCAATATAATCTCCCTCAAGTGAAATACATTTCTCACATCTCGCTTCCAATGCCTTTAACCCACCCAAAAATATTCTGTATCTTTCTCTTCAAAATGACGATCAGCTTTCATTCTGTTGTCATCTACAAGTTTTCGGTCCCGTAAGGCCTTTTTCAAATTGGAAAACAGGAAACAATCGCTAGGTTCTAGGTCTGGGTTATACAGGGGGTGTTCAATCTCTGAGAACTCCCGTGTCTTTCAGGGCTTGCCTCGTAAAATGTGCGGTGTGAACGGACGCGTTGTCTTGCATAAAGAGCACTCCGCGCGTCGGTTTCCCACGTCGCGTCGTTTCTGTATAATAGCCTCACGAACCTGAGTCAATAAATTGGCGTTGTTTATATGCATATAGTAATAGTTGTTATTTTGACATTACAAACAGAAACTTTTATTAGTATAGATGTTAAACAATTATTGTATTCGGAGTACCAATAGAGTAAGGTTTGTCACCATTTTACTTAAAATTTTAGATGTAATTATGTTATAAACCGCAATTTGGTAAATAGAAAAATAAAGATTATTATTATTATTTTAACGATAGAATTAGTTGTGATGTAGTAACTCCTCCCTTCGATAATATATATTATTCTTGTTAATGTAGAATTATTGAGTAGTCTAGTTAAAGTTCTAGTAATAACAATATGCCTCTCATTGTCACCATTCCACATTACATGGCGACCCTGCCAGGATAACATAGTTATATCGAAGTTATTTGTACGGTAGTATTGAATGCACTATTACCGTTATCGTAAAAGCCTATTAAAGTCCATTGCTAAATACAGGCCTCCCCGATAGATTGTCCCATAGGGAGGATATTGGCCATAGTTGCTACGCTTAACAAGCGGAATTAAGAATATTAGGAAGACTCTGCTGTCCGTCTCCTGATTTGTTTCCTCTCTGTCGTCTCTTACTATATCTACGAGATGATATGGGTTAGGGCATATTCTTATACCGCCGCCACACGCTTAACTATTAGATGGATTCAAACAAACTACAAGTAGTCACTCTGCCATTAGAGCCTTATCACACTGGCGATTTGAAAGCGAGTACAAAGCAAAGCGAGTGTGCTGCTAGCGGGCCGCGAAGAGACCGCGCCACATTATAAATAATAGTCTGCATGAATTCCGCCGTATCCGTTGGATTAACAACGTTTGAATCTTTTAACGATTCTCTATTATTTGTTTTGTGGCGCGGTGTCTTTGCGATGAGCTCGCCGGGCGCTCGTTGCAAACTCGCGTCGTGCTCGCTGCGCATTCGCCTCGCTTGAACTTGCTTGCCCTTAGGCTATTGTCGAATAGAACAAGCGATGAGATTCCGTGTCGGGCAGGTCGGGGACGAGAAACGCAACCTGGTGCGTTGTTTCGCGGAGATCTACCGCGTGGAGGGGCTGCGCGGGCTGTGGCGCGGCGTGGGCCCCACGGCGCAGCGCGCAGCGCTCATCGCGGCCGTCGAGCTGCCCGTGTACGACTCCTGCAAGCGCGCGCTGCTGCCCGCACTGGGCGACGCGCCGCTCAACCACTTCGCCTCCAGCCTGCTGGCCAGCCTCGGCAGCGCCGTCGCCAGCACGCCGCTCGACGTCATACGGGTGAGTCCACATACACGCCATACGACCAAGCCGCACGCTGTACACTGCACACACGTCATACGGCCCTGTCATTTTTATTTATTATTTGTGACTAAGAGTTTGTCTATCAAGTAGGGATGGACCGAATATGGATTTTACCGAATACAAATATTCGGCCGAATGTTCGGTAAAACTTTTACCGAACCGAATATTCGTCCAAACGTTATTCGGCAGGATAACCTCGGGACCCAACAAATTTATGTTGAAACTTGTTACCGGAAAGCGCCTGGGATTAGCACCGGACCCTGCCTCTCGCTCCCCGTCACCCCTGACAGTTATTGCATCATCTAGTACTGAGGAAATTGCCGGCACATGCTTATGTTTTGACTATTCTTGTGATAAAAAAAGTATTTCGTTGTTTTATTCTTAGTGAAAATATGTGATAAAAATAAGCGGCAGGAGATTTAGTATTTAGACTTATTTTAGACAAACTGACGACCAAATTAAAGTGAAATGTTCTAATGTAATGTAACGTTTCTTTGTTTGATTCCAAAAACATTTTATCAAGTTTCTATTTGCTATAATCGGAAATAAATCTACAGTGCTTCAAAAACATAAATGTAAAGATTTTTACATTTGAGGCACTCTAGAGTAAGTAGCTTTAACCCATAAATAAAATATACTTTCAACAGTAAAAGACATCGCATTACTCAATTCGTACATTGCAATATATTGGAGACTATGAAATTGAATGTTCGGTGATTTAGCTTCTGCTATGAATATTCGGTAAGTGCTGAATACCGAATATAAAACGAATATTCGACCAAACTCTATTATCAAGTCACCACAAAGATAATGCTTGCTAGATTATCATCTACGCTTTGGTCCGTCATCAGCACATCGCTTGGCGTTTTATGGCTAGTTACAGGCTCAACTCTACACATGAACACACATATCACGTGCACACTCACATACACGTAGAAGTACATACATTTATGCCTTCTGGTTACAAAGTAATAAATCTATAAGTCTCATTTCGCCTCAGTTTTGATCACACGCTTCGGCAGGACCGTTACTAAAACGTCACTTAACTTCATGAGACAGTAGAGCAGCATAATCAAACGAATTCATCATCTCACGTAAAAGTATTATTAATTTAATTTTTTTTTAATTTTACTCATCCATAAGTTAAATTCCGTACCGGTAAGCGAAGTGTAGCCCCCCCACTTAGTAGATTGCAATCTGTTAAAAGATGCAGGATGCAGGAAGTCGACGAATTCAGGTGGCTCAAGAACTTTGCTCAGCAATGGACTTGTGAAGTACTGTAATCATAATGATGATGATTAGTTCGATGTTCTTGTAAAATAACATAAAAACTTGTATGCAGGTCACACGCTGCAAAAATGAAACCTTCAGATAACAGATGTATGCATATGTAGAGGATCAGGAGTAGCATAATTGTAGGGTTTCTTAATTTCAAATATTGTTACCAAGTTTAAAAGTTAATTTTACATTTTATTCTACATATTCCTATCACATTACATATTGAACAGACTACAAGTTTTCAATTTCAAGAAATGAAAACGAATAGCTTTAGGTAACTAAAGTATACCTTATATATTTTCAACTAGAAATGCGACATTAAATTTCAGATAAAAGTTAAATTTTATAGCAAATAAATATTACAATCCTTATTTTTAGACATTACAAAGAATATTATCTTCCGAGTAAAATTACTTTGTAATTGCGCCATCTACTTCATTCTATAAGTAAAGTAATTTTATCAAACAAAAGTTGATTGAACGCTGATGGGGTAGTACGTAAAATGGACGCTAGATGGCATGAAGTATTAAATCGGGGATTGTTATGAGTGGTTTGGATAATATGATAATTTTATTTAATATGGTTAACTTTATTTATTCAATAAATTTATAAATTTTTATACGGTTTATTTTAACAGTTAAAATTTATATTAACCATCTTTAAAGTACCGCACATAGAAGAGAGATCGAGATAATAGGAAACACTGTATTTAAAAAAAATTTTGCAATGCAATTAAAATTACTAGTATCCCCTTTAACCACAGCTGGTAAGCTGAAAATGCATGTGTTAGGAATGGTTCACGACAGTAGTCGAAAGGCGGATTCAAATCCATTCATACCTTTAAGTTCTCGGTCCGCACCTTTTTTTTTAACATGGGAAAATGCCTACGCATACCCGCCTCGCGGGGGCAAGGACGGGTTATGTCGGACTCGCACCGACTAAAACCCCATGGTGTTCCACCTTCGTCGCATATTGGCAGGGCTACGGGAACGCTTTCGCACACTTCCGCGGCCCTACCAGCGACTGCCGCCCCACGGCAGCACCTCCTCGGGAGAGGAATATTCCTCCCCGTTCTCCTTCCCAAGTAAGGCGCACCAGAACACATGGCACGCCTTCCTCCACGGCCTCCAATTGCATCTGCGCAACAGACGCCCCCGCGTCCGATGCGCGAAGGCCATGGTGCCAGGAAAAACAAGCACTTAGAAGTACTAGCCTTCCCGACCCTAGCGGCGGATCTGGTCTATGGCTCCGCCGCCAACCAAGATTCGGCTGCGGAGGATAGGGAGAGCGGCGCCTCGCAATACCGACAATCCTCTCCCCCCGCAGCCCCATCACCACCGCATCAACGGTGCGGCCCCGTTTGAGTCGCGGAGGATAGGGCGAGTGGCGCATTGCCATACCAACACTCCCCTTCCTCCGCGACTCCACCTCGGCTGCAGCGGTAGAGGGTGCGGAGTCCCCACTCGCTGCAGTCCACCAGCACATATCCGAAGTGGGCTCCCCAAGCCCACTCGGAGTGGCGGCCATCCTCGGGCCAGCCACGTGGGTTCCTCTTTGTTCACCGTGGGAGACCAAGCCACGGCTACTAAGCCCCCCCGCCACGACAAGGCGGGAACCCGTTCGGGGGGCTCGGTCCGCACCCTGTCACTAGGCTACTGTCGCTTGCTACACTGTATTCTATCTCATTCTCTCGCGCACTTAATCCTATATATGTATATCTTTGTCTGTTTTTAGTGTTGCTTTTTAGTTCAAATCATAACGATTCTAAATCAGTTTTCATTTCAATAACTATTAGTGGGATTGTTAAGAACCGGTTTAAATTTTTAATATTGTTTTCAGACGCGACTAATGAATCAAAGAAAGCTGAAAAATACAACCGAGCCAATGCAGAGGATATACAAAGGGACTATAGATTGTTTCTTGCAAGTAAGTTTAACTTGAGCTTTTTAACTGGAGAAGCGGCGTGGTGTTGACAGATATTAAAGCTTCGATTACCCCTATCATTATTATTATTCTATATTTTTATGAAAAATTAGCTTGTTTGGTTTTGGAACATTTTTTTTAAATTATATGCAGTTTTATTTTCTTAATACAATTGATAATTACAGTCCAGTAGCAAAGACCTCCCTTAAAAAAAATGTAATAAATCATATTATATTGGGCTTACATTATATATACGTATATATTGGAGTGACAACCGGTAAGACATGCAGGAAGTCGATGGATGCAAGTGGCTCAGGACCGTGTTTTGTGGTCTCTGTTTAATCCCTTATATATTACAGGCGTGATGATATGTATTTTAATGCAAGATCAGTTTTATTCATAATCTTAAAGCTGTTAACTGTAGCTAAAAATGATTGAGGAAGTAGTTTGTTCATAACACAGTGTTCAATTAAATTTATTATCAATTTTTATAATAATACTGGCTTGTAAGCGACGCATTGCTGCCGCAGAAGAAATAATTGTATAAATATCGTTTTAAACTTAGAAGTTATTTTGTTTAATTAAGAATGATAAATAAATTCATGGAAATTGAAATATAATTTTCAAATAAATTTATCGGATTAAACGCGGCGCCTACAACTTAATTGTGCTTTGCTATTAACCTTCGCGCAAATGCAAACAATAAATTGACAAAGTTTTAGAATTGTGACGTGGAATTGAACATTATTTTATATATTAGATTAAATTTTAACATTCCTTATCAAATTAATTTGTCTGATTATACGCGGATTTTCGACGCATGTTCATAATAAGTATAGAATATAATAAAATATGCACATTGTCTTTGCAGACTGTTCGCAATGAAGGTTTCCTCGCACTGTACAAAGGTTTCGTGCCGACGTGGTTTCGAATGGGACCTTGGAATATCATTTTCTTCATCACCTATGAACAACTCAAGCAGTTCTACTGAGCTCAAGCTGATAGCTTATGGTTGTGACGCATGCTGGATCTGTAGATAGGAAGCTTTTAAGGTGAGATTCATAAATATAACTGATTTAATAAAACCATCTTTACGGATTTTATCGCTTCTGCATAGATTGAACCAAAATTAATAGTTACAAGGCTAAATGTACTCCGGGTTAACTTTGACATTGGGATGTCAAACTCCTTAGTCCCCCCGTAAGCATGGTTGCTGCAAAGCATCCGAAACGTCGCGAATTAAATAATTAATTATATTTAATTAATTAACGCGCGTTTGCCGAAGTTGATCCGATATACAAATCCACATTGCGATGGTTACGGAAAATGTTGATCCGATTTAAATGAGCCAATCAGAGCACAGAAAATGATAAGATAAACGATCGGATAGGCTGAAAGCAGCCGCGACGTTGCCGTTTCGTATCTTTGGCGGTACAAGCTACAGATTAAATGCGTGTTCAATACAATAATGCATTCAGGGTGCTGTTGGGTCTGCCTCGTTATTGTAATGCGCCGGGTATGTTTGCGGATGCGCGTGTGGATTGTTTCTACACCACCATGCGTAAACGATGCACATCCCTGGTGCGCGGGGTGCGGGCCAGTTCTAATGGTATACTGAGGACATTTTCTGACAGGGTTGAGGTCAGTACCTGAACCATTGTCATATGGTGCACGTGCTGACTAATCGGACCTTAGATATAGTTTTAAATAAATAGTTTTAAAATTAAGTAAATAGTTTCAAGTTTTACTAAAATTAGTTTTAAGATTTGTATTATTACTAACATCTATGATCCTTATGGTCGAAATAAACGACTTTTTTAACGAATAACTCGACAACGCCCTTTCTTGTAGCGGAAGTGGCGACAACGGCGACAAGGTATTCGCCTGAGTGCGTGTTTGTGTGTGTGTGTGCGTGTGCGTGTGTGCGTGTGCGTGTGTGCGTGTGTGCGTGTGTGCGTGTGCGTGTGTGCGTGTGTGCGTGTGTGCGTGTGCGTGTGCGTGTGCGTGTGTGCGTGTGCGTGTGTGCGTGCATGCGTGTGCGTGTGTGCGTGTGCGTGTGTACGTGTGCGTGTGTGCATGTGTGCGTGTATGCGTGTACGTGTGTGCGTGTGCGCGTGTGCGTGTGCGTGTGTGTGCGTGTGTGTGTGCGTGCGTGTGCGTGCGTGCGTGCGTGTGTGTGTGTGCGCGTGTGTGTGTGTGTGTGCGTGTGCGCGTGCGCGTGCGTGTGTGCGTGTGCGCGTGCGCGTGCGTGTGTATGTATGCGTGTGCGCATGTGTGCATGTGTGCGTGTGTGCAATGTTGTGTTTGTGTGTGTGCGGCAGTGTGCGTGTGTGAGTGTGTGTATGAGTTTGTGGGTGTGCACACGTGTGCATGTTTGCACGCGCTTGCTTGTTTGTGTGTGTGTGTGTGTGTTTACCATAAACCAGTTAACATGTTTTCTACATCTTCATAATCAAGATTTTTAATGACGCGTTTACAAAATTGATAGGTATAGAATCGAACTATTACATGAGATATTATCATGAGACCCTACCTCCGGTCTTGATGGAGTGACCTCAAAATGTAATTCGGGATTACTACTGGAACTCCTGGACTAGTAGAACTGGGTGTGCCGAGTTTGGGCTCGTTTTGTTAGTTATGATGAGTCCTTACCTCCGGACTTGCTGAAGTGACCTAAAGGTGTACTTCGGTAACTAATACTGTAACACCAGGACTAGTAGAACTAGGTACGCCGAGTTTTAGTTTGTTTTGTTAGTTATGATGAAACTGTCACAAAACAAAAGTTCTTTTCACTTTGTGTCTTGTACCAATAGGTAGTCAAGCTGATATTCGGAAAAATGGATAACCTCCTAGTAACATCTTTATGGGCAGTATCGATATCCACTTACCAGCCACATTGTTTTTCGCTGTAACCAACTGTCCTTTATGTGAGCCTCACTTGCCCTCACGTGGTACCCACTTTACTGCACTCCAGTGCACCCACCACCACCTCTGCCACCTACGCCTCCACATCTACCACCGCACCCCTCTTTAAGCCTTCGTTCTCCACCTCCGCTACCTCCGCCTCCACCATAAACTCTGCTCCCTTCGCCTCAACAATAAATTTCGCTCCCTCCACCGCCGCCACCACGCGCCGTCACTATTCTTTCCGCCTCCAACACAATCTAAGGTCGACCCACTTCTGACCCCGCTCTCCCCGTTTCCACTATCTCCGACTACACCACAAATTTTTTACCTCCGCCTTCACCACAATCTACGCTGCATTCACCTCCGCCTCAACCACGTCTCCAATCTCCGCCTCCGTTTTCTGCGCTCATACACACACAAACACGCACTCAGACGAACACACACGCACGCACATGCACGCGCATACACACACGCGCGCTCGCGCGCACTCACATAAACACACGCGCACAGACACACGCACACCTACACACACACACAAACACACATTCACACACACACAAACACATTCACACACACACACACACACATACAAACACACGCGCGCGCACACATACATACACGCGCGCAGTACACACGTACTCAAAAAACGCAACAGTGCACACATGCACTCATACACTCACATACACGCGCACGCACATGCGTTAACACGAACACACATGAACGCACATACACCCACACGCACGAGCACATACAAACTCGCATAAAATCACACACACGTAAACACACGCGCTCGCACTAAATGGCACCCTCCACCCTTACACATACATACATACTCGAGTGATAAATTAATTTGTAATAAAGTACTATGCATCATCTTCTAATTGATCTATGACAAATGAACAATATAACACAAATTCACTCACGCGATAACAAAAACTCGAACAAACGTCTTTCCACAATAAAACCTACCAAAGTTTGATCCACAAAATCAGCAGATAACGCATTTTCTTACCTTATTACTATAACGAAGTAGCCTACTGGGTTCTCTGTCACACACAGAACGCGACGTTGCCGCTTCGTGTTCGAGTACCTATTCGTCAATTATGGCTCCGGATCCACTTAGTCTAAGTAAATGTCGCATATAAATTAAATATACTCTGGATCTAAAAAATCATATTCAGTATGATTTTTTCGACCGTTGATAGATCAACAAATGTTGGTCAAATCGCTGACGAGTATATTGAAAACCTGTTAGTGCAGATCCAACGACGTCATACGCGCATCAAGGATGGATCAAAGTATATTAGTTTGTGCGACGAGGAGCTGAGCAAACACGTCAAATAGGTGGATCAACAATTGTTGTAACTTCTCACTGGATCAACATTTACCGAGAAAGGATGATTATATATATTCATCAATCAATTTTTGTTTCATCTTTTGTTATATTGAAGCGCGCACACTCTTTTTCAAAAATCTCTATCCATTGCATCGCATTAGGATTCTTGCTTGTGAATTTTTCAATAATAAATTTTTCTGAAATATGTTTTAAGTTATGTTGACTTTCTTTCTTAGTTGTAGTTTCTATTAATTGTTCCAAGATATGTTGCAAACTGTCATCTTTGTCTCTTGTTTGTTTTGTGCTCATTTCTTCTAAATATTGATCTAAAAATTGCATATTACCTTCCTCATCTACATATGTCTTCTTTAGATTTTCATCCAATTTTATCCATACTTTTCTACTTTGGTGTCTTTTCTTTATGCTATTTTTTACTTTTGTGAAAGTGTTCATTTTAACAATATATGTATGATGACTCACCGGCTTCAGCTCCTCGGGTAAAACATAACATTTTCCTTCTTCTGTAGATATTGAGGTTATGGCTAGTACATTAGATTTGCCATCATTTGAGGCTATCATCGTAAACTCGAATTGCAGCCGGTCCATCTTCTCTTAGTTAACAAAAATGTCGTTTTATAAGGTATATTATTGAGGATCTTCAAAATAAACCACAAATTGTTTCTCTGAAAATACAAAGCTTTGTTTTATTTAACACGTCTTTCCAATATTACAACAATTATCAAGTTATGACAATTACACTTCTATCTCACCTGAAAATACAAAGAAACGACATTTAAAGTTTACTAATATTGCTTCCTCAATCGTATCCTTCGGTTTATCTCTCTACAAGTTTTTATAACAATAAAATGCACAAAATAATCTAAACGTCATCCGCCATTGAATCATAGTTTACACATCACTTCGATGCGCCCTCTACCATCTTCCACAGACAACATAGATACGCGAAGCGCAGCAAATTCAAATTAATGAAATATCATTCATTTCATTACATATATATATACAATATTAAGGGTATGTTCCGAAATACAACGCAGTGTACTGTCCAATGCAAATGACGTCATGAATCGACGCTATACTGGTGATTCGTTCCAAAACATTGGACAGTATATGACATCATACTTTTGCGCCATTTGGGAAAGTGTTGGCGATTATTTTGTCATTTTGTGCTCCAAAAATCATTATATCCTCCTAATGGATATACCATCAATTATTCTATAATTTTTTGTATTTGAATAAATAGAAACAAATTCTGGCATGCTTCATTCGGCAAACACACAATTAAAAATTGTTTTATTATGGCCGGATATCCGACACAATATGGCGGCGGCACGCTAGTACAATAAAGTGTCAAATGATACGTCATTTGCATTGGACAGTACACTGCGTTGTATTTCGGAACATACCCTAAAATAAAATGGTAAATTTTGACAACGTGTTAATGATTATAATAACTCAAATGGGATATCGGACGGTCCTGAAATCATAGTACCTTCGGTTTCGAGTCCTGTCTTCGGTGCGACTTTTTTTTAAAGTTCCCTTCTTTTTTGGGAAAATCTATTATTTAGAGCCCTTTTTTTAAAAACACGAAAATTTAAAATTAAACTAATTGCACTCATGATTTTTTTTTTATATAAACATTTCAGTTTTTTCTATTATATCGGTAAGATAAAAAATATTACCTATTCCTATTTCGTCAGTATGTAATAATAATTATAATTTCTAAAACACAAGATTTCAAAAAAAAAAAAAAAAAACGAGCAAAGCTCGGTCATAAAGATACTCAATTCTTATAATTGCTACGTTTTACTTTCAGATATGAACTTAAGTATACAATAATATTAAATGACACATTTTGTTTCAGATTCCATTATAATGGAAGGGAGCTCTTAAGGGAACACCAGAATTTCACTTATTAACTTATACTCTAAGTAGCAAATTGCTCTAGCATTTAAATTTAGATGTACTAGATAATCTTAGGCTATAAAGTATCCTCTCACACTCTTCTTATATTTAGAAGGTAACAGGTTAGGCAAGGGGTAATAGATCTGCCGCGCTTTTGACATAAATGTTCGCACATTCTGTTATTAAATTTTTCTTTGATGATTTCAAAATTATGTAAATACATAATTTTGAAATCATCAAATAATAAACAAATAAATATCAAAAAATTATGTAAAAAATGGAGGAAGGCTGTTGCTTCGTCCTACGCAAGTGAACACAAGGTGAACGCTGAGCGGCGAATATTAAAGCGACCCAACTTACGTGGATGTAGAGCGGTGCGGGATTGCGTTGGTTGGATTATCTTGGTTGCTTCTAACGCATTTTTTAAGTTAAAAAGTTATTGCTTGTTTATGCCTCACTGCCGGGTATTGGCCTCCTGTCATTTCTAGTCTATGAACCATTTGTGTCCGATTTTACATCCATTGTCAGAAATTTGATCACAAGCGTCCATTATAACGTATAACGGGAGGAAGCTTTTCTATTCTTTTTTATATGAAACTGATGCGACGGGAGCCACGCTGCGTTCACATTGAATTTACACACGTGGGACGACGAACAAATGCGCAATGATTACTTCGAATTCTATTAATAGGTGCTTTCAACGTGACCTTTTATATTATTTGACATTCTTTTTAATAAAGGATGTAGTTGTGGAAAAGGATCTAACCCTCAGAAAGCTAATTTTGCGATATTGACGTCTAGAACTTGAAACGGTAGGTATTCGATGATCATGTATGATTCTAATTGTGGTAATTACGCTTAAATTTTTACATTTTTGGCATTAAAAATTATTTAGGTAATATCTCACTATCGACCCAAATGTAGGTTGGATCCCTTTCGCATAACAACATTCAATTGTTTTTATGAACTTTGGTGAATGTCATTAATTACTTCTACAATATCCGTCTAATTATTTTGGTCTGAGCTTATAATGTTCGATGATATTTTTGGATTACGTTGGACAATTTTTATTCTAAGTGCAATGTTATGTAGTTCTATCGTAGCATAAATTTATAATCTATATGTAAATGACGAAAACCTTTACATTTTTCTAGTTATTACTTATTACCTATAGTTTACTAAGTAGCCAATCTGAACGCAATCTCTCGTAGGACGTTTGTTGACATAGTTTTAAAACTTTGTGAGTTTTGTTTCCTGTCCTTTTGCCAGGAAATTAGCACAGCTGTATTATTTTAATTTGTACTTGCATTTCTTATCACATGTTTATTCACAATAAAATGGTCACACGTACTTATTTTACTATACTACAATATAGTAAAACTATATGTGCTGTGACATAGTGAAACGAGTACATATGTCAATTCTGTAATCAAGAGTTTTTTTTGTATTTATTGTATTTAGATTTTCTATGGCGGTTGTATTACTGTAGAGATAAAAGCAAAGTTTCTCAAACTTACATAAAACTATATAGTATTAATCACAGTCTATGCGGTTATCGTAGTTCTCAGGAGTGATAACCCATTTGTGACCGTCTTTTTTGAATTTTGTTGAAGATGTCCACGGAATGCAGTATTTGTTTACCATTAAAAGGTTTTCTAAAGATTAATTATTATATAAGAAAAGTATTTTCATTTGGACATAAGATGAACTGCTAGCTCGTTTGTCACTATCTAAATAAAAGATCCTGGATTCTACTTGGTTACCCCTTGAGAGGTTGCTTGACAAAAGAAAAAAATCGATAAATATTAATACACATATATAATCCCATTAAGTACGAATAAATATTTTTATTGCAGTAATAAACAATCATAACAGTTGTTACTTTAATGAATTGGTTGTGACATCTAATAATAAAATAATTTTGTTTTAATAAAAGTGAACATATTACGAAGGAAATTATCGTAACATGTTAATAGGATAATGAGTTAAAGAAGTGCATACATACTGTATCATTTAAAGTCATATCTTTTGAATCGTTCTAAACGCACAAGATGCTGTAAATATTAACTGAGACAGTAAATCGAAGATTTAGAATCTCTGCTCTTATTTAAGCGTTGTGAAGATTTGTTTTTTATTAGAATTTAAGTTTAACACTTTCACTGTCCCGTGACTCACGTATGGGTCCATTGCTCTTGTCTTACTATTGTGTCGAAGCCGGACAGTGAAAGTGTTAAGAATGATAATACTGATTTAGTTAAACTAAAATCAGTCTTGTTAAGTCATATCTTAAAGTTTTTTACACTGACTTTTGCTATAATTACTGTTCTAAGTGGAAAGTGTTCTATTGCATATAAGTAGTACATGTGGGAAATGCACACTTCGATATAAGGTCACAATTACATTAGTATTTATTTTGCATTTAAGACGACCATATTGTTAGACGTTTTGTAAACCAATTAATATAATTTTTAAATTATATTAAATGATAATATAGTAGTTCTGCGAATATAAGGATCAACCATGTAATATAATTGATATAGTCCTTTGTTTTTCAAAAAATTATTTTTTGAAAAACAAAGGACTATATCAATTATATTATTTGACAGGCTTTACATTTATGCCGATGAGCCGTGGTAGCTCAGATCGCTAGCGCTCGCTGTAACTGTCGCATTCACAGTACGCGAGCAACCCGAGTTCGAGCCCCATTGGCACCAACGAAATTGTTAATGGCAATTTTAAGTGCTCATTTACCACGTGAAGGAAAACATCGTGAGGAAACCTGCATATCTGAGAAATAAGAAAAGAAAGTATTTCGAAGACATGTGAAGTTCGCAAACACGCATTGGGGCAGCGCGGGGGGCACTTTATTTCCCTAAAACCTTTCAGAAATGAGGAGAGGCCTGTGCCCAGCAGTGGGACGTATATAAGCTGTACCTTTAACTTTTACATTTATATACTTTGTATATAGTCAGTCATTCATTTATGCCATATAAATGTCTAAATAAATAACTTAATTCCTTACAAGCACCTTTTCCACCTAGTAAAGCCATACAACAACTATATTATGGTATCAGCTCAACTTGGTTAGAACCAGGCTCTCACAGAATACTAGCGTAAAACAGCAGAATGGTGCTGCTGTATTTCGTATGGTGAGTATAGAGATCTGGAGACTGTTTTAAATGGTAATAAAGCATTCCGTCTTAATCCTCTTGGTTGACAAGGCATCTGCATGTTGATTCTTAATGAGGAAAGATGTAGATGTCTCTTGTTCACAGTTATTTGCTCGTTCGTCACCCTTAATCTATAAAAAAATCTTTGTCTCCCCAAAATTTTATTTACAGCTGATTTATATACCTAGTATACAATCAATCATTTATTTTATGCCATACAAATTTCGTAAATATATAAATAAATTAATTCCTGAACCCATTTATACTTTTAAACTCGAACGTCGATGTTTAATAAACTGTAATGCGTATTGTTACAATATGCGGTCGAACATTTTATTTCAAATGTTACATTTTCATATATTTTAAGAATTTTCCGTTGTGTTATAGTTCTGACAGTTCCTTTTGTATAGTAAATTTAAGTAATTGTGTTCAAAACACGCTTGTGTACTTCAAATAACAATATACAACTAGGTAACAGGTCAAAACTTAATTGTAATTTCGTTTGCACTGTAACTTCTACTGCATAAGCTTGTTTTTTACTATAACTGCTTAATTTATTGATTATGCTAGTCTTGCTGAAAAAGTCGTAGGTACCGGATCCCATTTTACCTAGTAATATAAGGTGCTTTACTACTATATAGACGTATTTGGATGAAATCCAAATTATTTCTGACTCGTTTTTTGATTTAATGTTGTATATAAACCAGTGATCAAGTTGCATACTGTTGATGGAAGTTATTGTAGGTATATTATATATGTATAAATGTATGTACAAAGAATCAGCCAAAATATTCGTGAAATAAATGATTTACAAAATGATTATGGTGTTTTATTATTTTGCGCTTTTAAATAAGTAATGTTTTCTTTTTCTTTCCATATATTTGTCTCACATTGTCTCTATTGAGGTATTTTTATGCGTGGTAGAGCCACGCTGCAGCTATATTATGGTTGTAGCACGAATGGGTCGGCTCGACCGGGGCAGGACCATGCTCTCACAGAATACCAGCGTAAAATAGCGGCGTAGTACTGCTTGTGTGTATTATGCTGCTATTTTACGCTGGTATATACTGTGTTTCGTACGATGAGTGTAGAGATGCATTCCGTCTTAGTCTTCCGGGATAACAACGCGTCTGCATTTTGATTTTTAATCGAGAATAAATGTCGATGTTTATGGGTCACAGCATCCACTTACCATCAGGTGAACTGTGAACGCACAGTTCGTATTGAATGCCTTTGGCAACATTTGGCGAAGTTACCACACTTGACAGCCAAGTTTACAATTACGATTTAATAGGTTGTACGGCTCCTTGTCTGCCCGGGAGTTCGTCAGGGTGGCTACCATCATCTTACCTATTCCAGGCGCCAAGCAGCACTGCGTACTGCTGTGCTCCAGTCTGAAGTGTATAGACATCCAGTATAATTACAGGCTATGAGGCTGCAACTTAGTCCTAAAATGTGACAACGCATTCTGTTGTCTCGCAACGCATCTCAATCTATAACTGAGAAGCTATAGAGTCGCTCAGACAAAAATTTTAAGAAATTAATATATTTTTAACTTTGACCGTTCAGTACATTAAATTTATGAAAATGTAATACCGTCAAAAACATAACTCGTAAAAAATCCAAGTCTCGCAACTCAGTTCTTCTGCTGTAAAAAGTTGTGAGATCCATGTCCAAAGGTCCTTCTGTTTTAAGTTATTACGTAATTAGCTAACCTAACATTTTATAGTGACCATGGCAACGTTAAAAATCTTTTATGTTTCAAAGAAATAGATTGACTTGGCAATCGCAAGAAAACACTATGTATCTCACAAGTAATACATATTATATTAAATTAGATTGCTTAGTGTGATTGCCAAGTCAATCTATATATTTAAAACATAAGATTATTAACATTGCCACTATACTATGATGACTATAAAATGTTGTTAGGTTTAGACCCTTAAGTAGGGACTGAATAAATAATCGACTTGGTAACCGACATGGATCTCACAACTTTTTAAAGTAGAAAAACTGAGTTGCGATTTTTTTTCACAAGTTATGTTTTTGATGGCATCTCATTTATTTTTGTAGATAAAATAGTCCTACTTTTACCATTCCCGGTACCTTCTATCTCTTGAATATCTACAACGTACCTATCTACACCTATTATACATATACAAGTACACTGATACATTCACTGCAAATATAACTTTTTAAAAGTCTGCCTCGTTGGTCTAGCGGTTGTAGTAGTGCGACTGCTGATCATGAGGTCCTGGGTTCGAATCCCGAATCAGACCGAAAAATTATGAGAGTGAGGGAATAGAGAGTGCACCTGTGCTTGCGCGTACAGTTGAGCACTATAATCCTGTCCTGCGCCGATGGTTAGCCTCCGTTGAGGCAGGCCGCCGTGGCCGAAATTCGGTCTGGAGGACATTATTATTATAACTTTGTGATTCTATATATTAATATGGGAATACAAAGTTATTTATGCAGTTAGTGTATCTAAAAACTGGACCGAAATTAAGAAATATTTTAGTTTTTCCTTGATTAATATATTCAACACTAATTGTATTCTAAATTTTAAGCTTTTATGTCTGCTAGAAGTGCCTTAGAGTTTTGATGATCGGTCGGTCAGTGAGTGACAAAATGAAGAAACTTTGACTAGTTCTACTAGTACTTCTTACACTACTTGTTCAAATTGAATAAAATTTGAAATATACCATGTTTATACAATGTCTACTCAGTTACTGAAAATTCAGGCTTCTAGTTTTATTCACTATGAAGTTATAGAGGGTCGAAAATGGCCTGAATTGTTTCGAGAAAAGTATGGTACGACCGTGCCGCTTTTTTGCTCGCCTTGGCGGGGGCACTGCCGTGCCCCCAGATGTACGTGCGCAAATATAAAAGTAGTCTTACAAAAATAAGCGATACTCATTCTGTAAATACCGGTTACTCGACTTCACCGAGTCAGTAATTCATTCTTGGGGCGATGTGTACGCTTTTGTAATAAAATCCCAGAAAATACACAAAATTTGACCTGCACAATGTTCAAAAAATTTATTACACTAAGTTTGTATAAAAAGGGTTATTATAATAATATTAAGGAATTTATGGATGATAATAACCTCTGGAAGGGTGATCGCTACCAATCTATTTCTAATCTGTTATGTGTTTGTGTGTTAATTGTAAAATTCATGATTGTAAGCTGTTATTTTTTATTATAAAAGTTCCAGCTGGGTTTCTTGCCGGTTCTTCCCAGGTCAGAGATTTTTTACGAACATGTAGTAAATTAAAAAAAATGACTCAATAAGTATTATTTATAATCTATATTGAATAAAAAAGTTTCTGTTTCTGTAGATTTCATAATTGAACTTGGTTGTAAGGGTACATAGTCTGCAGTAGCCACTTACGCAGGTGGTCAAATGCTTGCTCCTCAACGCCTGCCTGGATATTTTTCATGTGCCTTATTTCATTATGTACCGTGTAGCGGAGGCATAAGAATACCCAATGCCCCATAGTATTGTCCCGTGGGTGTCGTAAGAGGTGATAGAGGGAAAATAAAACAGAAGATGGGCCAACGCCTGCCATGCGTGCTAATTAGGCAGAATCCATATGAGGCAATCTATGGGAGAGGCCTAGTTTCTATATAGATTGTCCATCACTTGACTTCAACAACAATTGAGGCGTGACAATGTTCTTTTTTATTTTTATAGGATAGGGTGACAAACGAGCACACAGTCCACCTGATAGTAAGTGGTTGCTGTGGCCCATAGGCATCTACATCTATCCTCGATTACGAATCAAAATGCAGATGCGTTGACACCCCTGAGGACAAAGATGGAATGCCTCGTATCCAGTAAAAAGGGGTCTCCGTTTCTCTATACTCATCATACGAAACACAGCAGCATTAAGCTATCTACTATTTTACGCTGGTATTCTGCGAGAGCGTGGTCCTTTCCCAATCGAACCGACCCATTCGTGGTACAACTATACTACTAATATAACTGCAGCATAGCTCTACCACGTGTTAAAAGTGTTCAAGTTGGTTTTTGTTTATTAGTTATATTATTTATACTTTATTGAACCGTACCCAAATAGAAACAAAAGGCAGATTTATTGCTAAGTACGCAGGTCGTGGATTTTGTGCACTACTTCGTTTGTTGGCATAAAACTGTTTTATTGGCTATACCAAGTAAAATACCTCGACGACTATGCCCAAAGACCGTTATAATCACAATTTAAAAATACCTGTGATTATTCATTAAAGGCATTAAGACCTTTTGTTAATTATAAAACAAAATTTAACGTCACACTCAAGTCATACTGGTGTCAAATGTCATATTGGCTTTTGGTGGTTTCATAGAAGTCCAGACAATACATTTTACAACATAAATAGTATGAGGTATATTTACAACCGTACAAGGTTTTCAAAATAATCATGGACGCGGGTGTGTTGGATTGTGATCCCACAGAAATAGACAGGGGGTTGTGCGCTTGTAAAGGCGTGCCATCACTTGGTATATTAAAGGATGTTCAAAAAGCCTATGAAGAGAGGATAGAGCTTATTAAAAAGGCTGGTGGATGCAACAAACTTCAGGTAAGTCCCATTGAGTTCTATAGGTAAAGTATTGAGAAATATACAAACATTCTATGTGAGATGGAATTTATTGTACAATGCAAGTACTTGCGCAGTAAGTTACGATCAATTCACCGTAATCACTTTAGTCGATAGCGAGTGGGTGACATAGATAGTTCTTTGTTTTGTAAACCGCGGACGTTGTTTTCGATAATTAACACTCACTTTGTTTAATGCGACTGAGAAAACGCTGCCGTTCTTTATATACGCAAACAACAGTACATATAATTGTTGTAAATGAAAATAAAACTGCGTGGCATATTTCCCGTGGCAGCTACCCGTCCACCCGGCGCCCGCGCGATCTATAGTTCCGCATTTCACATTTAGTACATTGTAGGTACCCATTGCTCAGTTGGTCGACTGTTGCTAAAAGTTGCTATTAAATTGATTTATACCGGTACAGGTAAATTAGGAAATTGCATTTCGATCAGTAACAGAAAGAAGGAATGCTTCTCTAACAATCCCAGGAATGTAATGTATGGTCAGGATGATTCCGCATCCATAAACACCCCTACAGATAACTGGTTGTCTGCAGGGGTGTTTATCATTTTTTGAATGGTCCAAATACTGCTCTATCTAAAGGCTGAAGTTTGTGCGTATAATGGGGTGGAAAAGAAAGCAGTCCTATTCCAAAACTGTCAAGGATATAGCTTTGCTATAGATTCCTATAGCCTAGTTTTTGTTCAGAGTTTAGTATACATAGAAGTCTTTGGTACAATGTTACGAATATTTAATTCATATTGTGTAGTGCCTTAGGCGTCGCGACATGGCCCCCGGGCCGCAATATTTTTGATGAGAATATTGCAAACGCTTTAAGATTGCAAGTACTGAACATAGATATTAACACATCATTGCCATGTTATGATTCCGTTTTAATAACATTATAGAAAGTCTTTTACTTTCAGATTTTTAATTTTTTAAGATGATCTGAAACTGTGTAGTGGCGGTGTAAAATATCCATTAGCCCACTTCGTCATAGATGGGTTGCGCAAACACAAATCGAAATTATAAAAAATTGCTAACAACAAAAACAAATCGCAATTATAAAAAAGCGTGGTTTGTTCGGATATTGTCTCTAATTCGCGATCTCATATCCTGAGTTCATCTGATGCCATCGGGCTCCGGTTGCTTTGCGGATGAAGTAATTTTGGACTCTTTAGAGTTTGAGTAGATAGGGCATAAACAGGTCATACGCAAATCTTTTATGGGTGGAGCTTATGCCTTAGGACGATTTTCTTCTACTATTGACAAGTAGATAGAGGTGGCAAAATTGATTTTTTCTTGTTTTTTGGACAGAGGTTTTCTTCGAACCAGTGGTCATGTAAAATATATTTAAGTTTGATCATATTGAATAAAAATTGTTCTATTTTATTCTTTCATGATGGACATTTTTCGAATATAAATCGATTGAGATATTTGGCCATCGTTGCCGAAGGGAATTGGACGGCGCGGCGTTACCACTGAATATGTGTAGTAGCGTAGTATAGGTAACTGCTAGCCGTCGCGTCGTCCATCCAGGGCCAGTCGAGCCAAAAGTGCAGACCTAATCCTTATTTTCGAAATATCTTAAAAATATAAAATTGGTAAAAATCTACTAGCATTAAAGGCTCGAAATAATTTACAAAGTTTGTATATTATTTATTTATAACATTTATAAATGACTTCATCATCATCATTTACACGGAATGCCACAAAACACAGTCCTCAGCCTACATTGTTCATCATAGACATCTCCTGCTATCCTCGTATAAGAATCAAAATGCAGATACGTTGTCAGCCTTGAGCACGGGTCATCGGTTCTCTACATTTACCATAAGAAACACGGCAGCATTAAGCTGCTATTTTACGATGGTATTCTGTGAGAGCATGATCCTTCCCCGGTCGAGTCGACCTATTCGTACTAAAACCATATTGTAACTGCAGCATAGCTCTACCATGTGTAACATGTGCCCAGGGAATGTCTACAAAACACGGTACTGAGCCACGTGTTTTCGTAATTAATTCGTTTTCTTGTATGACTTACTTTAGACCTTTTACTAGTTATGTAGCTAACTCAGGTTAAATTCTAGAAATTACTGTCAGATAAATTAGATACCTAAATAGAAGGACCTAGGACGAGGAAGGGGAAAACTTTTTCGCTTCGGGTGCCCGGATTACTGAGGTTAGTTCAGGGTTAACATAGAATACACCTTTTCTTTTCATTAGAAAGAGCTGGAGTTGATGCGTTCGTGGGTGAGAGACTTGGTGGAGCAGAACGGAATGTTAGCGCGCGCCGTTGAGGAGTTGGAGGCCGAAGTGTCATCTAGGATGGTATTGGAGAAACGGCGGAGTTCAGAGGTTAGTTCACATGCAATTTTGATCATCATCATCATGATCCAGTCTGTCAGTCCTCATATGGGAAGGTAACCATAAATTGCCTCATAAGCGGAATAAGGACATCTTGGGAAGACAGTATCCTCCTATGAAGCAATGTTCCTGGAAGATCTATGTTTGAATTATGAAAATGTCATGAACCATTTAGGGCGGTCACCTACTAAATAGCCTGACGACCTTGACCATGGAGGAAAACGATGTAGCTGGATAAGCCTTGGGATATGTTTAGTTTTAGCAGTGGACGTGATAATAGACTTGATCAGAATGATGATGACGATTCAGTTTATTATCTTGATGCGAGTAGCTTTGGGATCGGATCCTTAAATTTCATAATACGCCATTTCAATTTCATAATAACCATTGACATCACTGGATTTTTTATCACAATTTTAAATGCAACGATTCCGCCTGATTAAGTGTGCAATGAGCAAAACTTTCGAGTTATGCACGCCAATTGGTATTTCTTATATATTCTAGGAAAAAATTACAAATAACTAACTTCTGCGTAGAATTTATTACTATTGGATTTTGTGGACGTTGTCAAATTTTTGTATAAAATAAAAGTAACCAAGTTACTACTTATAATCAGCTATCTGCTAATGTAAGTCCCGTTAAAATCCGTCCAGATCTATTTCGGAGATTAGAAACAGACAGAACTTTTTTAAATTGTTTTGCTTTTGTTTAAAGTTTCACTAGTAAAACCTGTTTATTTTAGATTACAAATAGACACTTAATTTTATTTATTTGTGTAGATTACGATAAAGTGTGACCACATATCGGCTTTTAGCTAATGCAGGATGTCCGGTAATTAATGGATAACACTGCAGGTAGTAGTAGGGGGCACCTCGGCCACTCAGAATAAAAAAAAATAAAAAAAATATCTACAGCTGTCTGGAAAAAATTACTTTTTTAAAGCGTTCAGATTATTGAGTACTACGGCTACAAATTTATTAATAACCGATTGATTCGTTTATGTTACAAGTGTTCTAAAAATTGGCCTGTGTTTGTTGTTTACAACGGTATGTAATTTATTTGGATAATAACTTAGACAATTCTGAAAATTATAAATTATTATTAAGCGAGTTTTTTTTGTGTTATTTTAAATACAAGTTATGATAAGAATTAATACCTTTTTGTGCATAGAACTTTTGATGATGCCGGCTAAGGGGATCAAACTCAAGTTAATGCTTACGTACGATTTTATTTTTATGTTATATGTTAAGTTATTACAGCAGCCTTAATGGACGTGACATGAGCCATGGACACCTGGTACCAACTTGAAACAAAGAAGACAGATGCGTTGTGATCTCTGAACACTAAGATGCCTTACAGCTTGTAATTGTTAATGACTCTCTATACCCTTAAAACCTTAAGAACTTCTCCAGGGTGCGTTGACGGACCTTGAAATATGTTTCATTGTTTTCACATACAGATTTTGTCTACTGCTTCTCTTATAAGTTGTTGATCTTAAAATTTAAATTTACAGTTAAATATAATAGCTCGGAGATAAAGCGTTCGTTTAAAGAGGATTACGATAGAACGCTTCGTTTCCAATAAAAACGGCATCCAGTTTTCTACACTCAATCGAATAAATATTGATTGACTTTCAAGGTGGTACGTAAAATAGACACTAGGTGGCCTAAACATGACTAATTTAATATAATATTCTATCTCATTCTTTCGCAGGCTGAATCCTATAGATGTATATGTTTGTCTCTTTTAGTGTAGCTTTTTCGTTTCAAATCGCAAGGATTCTAAAGAAGCTTTACACTTCAATAAAACCGCGGGCGTTGTCTTAGATCGAAAGCGAGCTTCGTACGGAAGTGTCGGTGCTTCGTCGCCGGTTGGCCCGCAAAGACTCGGACGTGCGCGGGCTACTCGAACTGTTGCGACGTCTGCGCGATTTCGACCACCGCGACATCGGCGACATACGCTTCTACGAGGTCACACAGCACGACATATTCGGCTGCACCATGTAAGACCGTTGGCGACAATCACACTCTCAACGTGTTATGCTGTAGCTATACCCGTATTATGCTTGTAGCACGAAGAAGTCGACTCGATCGGGGGACTACGCTCTCACAGGACCCCACGTAAAATAACAGTTTAGTGCTGCTGTGTTTTCGTATGGTGAGTGTAGAGAAGCAGAGACCCCTTTTGCTAGAATCGAGGCATTCCATCTTACTCATCAGGGGTGACAACGCATCTGTATTATGATTCTTAATTGAGGATAGATGTAGATGTCTATGGGCCACAGCATCCACTTACCATCAGGTGGAGTGTGTGTTGGTTTGTCTGTATAACAAAAAAAAAAAAAGATAAAAGTGTATAAAACAGCCTGAAATATTGTACGCTTGTCGAACGGTCAATCACAACGATCGTAATATCTAGAGCTTTGTTACACTATTCCATCGCAAGATAATGATGACTCGACGACTTCCTCTTTCGTCCACGACTTTTTCACCCACACCAGGGCGGCGCCACTTAGGAATGATGTAAAATATTTGTCAGATTTCAAAGCGGGGGAAGTTAATTGTAAGAAAAGTGTAGGGATTAATGTTTCTTTCTGAAATATTAGTTATATTATATAACAATTAGAATTAGAAATGGTTAAACCAAATTACGTATTGAATTATCGCGTTTAATTCAATTTTAATTTATTTTTATTATCCCGACGTTTCGGGTGCTTTACAGCACCCGTGGTCACGGGGGGGAGGGACTGAGATGTTTGACGTCCCAATGTCATAGTTAGTCCGGCTACCTTCAGTTTTTAAATATAAATTTTTGGTCCGATTTACGCAAAATGAGCTTGTAGTATCATGAAGTCTTGCAGTGGTATGCTTGGGTTTGGGTTTAATTTTGTTAATTATAGGATCCCAAGCAGGTGGCAGCACCCATCCATCTTCTCTATTGAAATTGGATGTTTTTTAATTTCAATAGCCTCGCGTATCATCCTTGGTAGGAATCGGTGTTCTTTTGCGAGGATTTGTGGTTTATCAAATCTAATGTAATGGTGGGGACGATCTTGAACATGTTCGCAGACTGCAGACTTCCCGGAGCGTCGGTGCTTCACGTCAGCTATATGTTCCTTCACGCGGGTTTTAATAGATCTTTTTGTTTGACCTATGATCAAATTACGTATATTCCTAAAAGTTAAAAAAGAAGATTTTAATAAAGTTAAAAATGTGTAAAAAGTTATATAATACGGCACTGAGGCAATGTTTTCGGTGTTAACATACGCTGGAAACCGAAAAAATTCTTATTATACCGCAATTTTTTTATTGACGTCGACACTGTGTGACCATCTGTGTAACAAATCCTTAGTCCCAAGTAGCGATATCTGGTGTGCGTAAGATTACGAGTATTAGCCCTCGTTGAAACACGTTTTAAGCATTGTTTTATATATAAAAAAAACGACTACTTAATGTTGTGCATTTTTGATATTTTGGAATGGTTAGGGAATAATTTTGCACGAATTGCTTTAATTATCAGTATAAAAGTACTATCATTTATGTGGTAGAATACAATATTTATTGCGCTATCTTACACAAACATGACAATTTTATTACATTCGCGCAAGCGCTCTGCGCCGCCTAAACAAAAGAGCAGGCGCAGGCATACATTTTCGCCGCGCCGCGCCGTAGAATGAGAGGGGGATACTTCCTCTTCTACGCCGTCCGTCTTATGAATTTTCGATCAGGTCACGTGTACTGACGCGAGTTTCCCATTTTTTACCCATTACAAAAAAGTTATTTTACATTACAACGCCGCTAAAGAAGTTTTCACTTCAAAAAGGTTCTTAAGAGTTGTGAGACTGTGTAAGAATATCTACTGCGGTGAAAGAATATCCACTACCCCATATGGTCCCGTGGGTGTCGAAACAAATTTAATGAGCAGTAGTATCTTTTTTTTTTTTGTAGGATAGGGTAGAATGGTTGCTAATTATTCAAATTTATTTTAAGGGTCGAATAAGCAGTTGTACTTGATGCGAGTCTATATAATAACTGCAGTGCTCTCGTATAAACTTTTTGATAAACATTCAAAATTATATTTGTGCCCTTGTCAACCCGCAAGCGAGACAACTACGGCAAATATCCCCTCTATTAGGCAATCTATAGGGAGGCCAATTCATTGGTGGACTTTTGATATTTCTGACGTAAGAAAAAAAATCAAATGTAATTTTTAAAACTCCTTGTGTTTAAAGAAAAGAAACTGTGATATATATTTTAATAGTTTATTTAAACAAAATTAAAAAAACGTTTTTAGTTTTGTTGTCGCGATGCTAATTAGCTAATTATTTAATTTGTCTCATTACAGACCTACAGATTTAGAATGTGAAGACAAACAATGCGACAAACGAACGAGCAAAAAGGATTTTCAACGAATAATGACTTTGTAAAGCGATATATTTTTTATAACTTTTACATTCTATTTTTACTGAATATATTTTATTTATTCTTTAATGTTTGTTCTTATTTATTTCCTTTATTCCGATATTTTAACATCTTTGTCACCTTTTTGTTTATAGAACTGAAGTGATGAACGAACTGCCAGTTCATCTGATGGTAAGCGGCTGCTGCAATTCATGTGTACCTGTAACTAACTTCAAATAATGAATATTTTTTTTAAAATTTTAAATGTTACTCCCACATTACGATTTTTTCTTGCACCATAAACACAGTTAACATACATAAATTGCTTAGGGATACAAATACTTTTTCTGTGCGGGAATCGAACCCGAAACTCTCAGCGCCGCGCAACTCAATGCTAAACCACTGCGCCACAGAACCGACAAGGCTACGTGGAAGCGTTTTACTTCAGGACTAAAATGGAATACCTCACAGCCTGAAATGACCAACACTAATTTCATTACTGTAATTGTATATCCTATATAAATTCGTTTCTCAATAAAAGACATTTTAAAATTTCTTAAGTACCGTACTATTTCCAATACTGTGTATATATAATTAACAATATATTTATTTTATTTAAATACCTACTTTAATAAAATATAATAGGAATTAATTGCAGTATGAAAAATGTTTCTTTCATCATATTTCTAAAAATGACGTAAATTATGAAATTTTTAGAGATCCTAATGTCTACTAAGTAGAAATGGTTGCAAATTATATTAAAAATGGTTGCAAATGTATATTAAAAGTAACGAATTTATCCAGGATATCAAATTACGTAGACGTAGACATGAGAAGACTCAATAATGAAATAAGTGTTAGTAATTGCCTGAACATTTTGCAGATTTTATAAATTACGCAATATTATTATTTAAAACGAGGAAGTTTAATTTGATTTAAATGTAATATACTTAATGCGTGGACTTTATTAGGCTGTATCGGTAATGGTAACGGCAGTAGTTAATAAGTTCTTGATAAGGTTTGTGGTATTTACTTTACTTGGGGTAAAAAAATTAAAAGTGAATTCTAATTATTCACTCCGTCTGAGGTGGTGAATACTGGATAGATAAATACGCGTTTCCGAGTATCCACCCTAGAGTGAATTTTTCAGGGTGTATAAACGGAATGACGCAGCGAGAAAAGTATCTCAGGATCGGGCTAAATGGAGGTCTGTTTTTTCAATCTACTTTTCAAGGTGAACTCACGAGTTTATGTTATGTTTATCGTATTTATACCAGATGTAAAAACCTCAAATATCCCTGGCGATGGGAAACTGCGGCAATGTAATCGTCTGCAAAACGTGGCTAATACGGCTACCATGGTTATTCTGCTTTTTATAGTAAAGGTTCAATCACTCTCAGAAATGAGAAGAAGTCTGTGCCTAGCTGTAGAAGGCATATAATATAGATGATTTAATTTCTTTACTTTTTAGCTTTACAGAAATTGTAAGCTTCCTATAAAATTGTAGTATTTAGTTTTTTCTATCGTTGTTACAGCGCGACCATAAGAAAACAATTTGTGACAAAGTGAACGAGCTGAAGGTGCTAAATGATTCGTTGCAGAAGGAAAACTATATGAAGGAGAGGTAATTTTATTCTTTAAAAACATCTTATATTGCTTTTATCATTACTAAAATCATAAACCCATTAAGTATAATAAAGGTAATCAATAGAATCAGGCGTTACTTTGCGGAAATCAATTATATTAAAGACGTTAAAAAATTACTTGCTCATATCCGCGCAATAAAACAAAATTATGTGTCTTACCTAGTTTAAAGAACAACTCCCGCTCTCCCTCAATTGCGTGCACTATCCATGTCACCACTAAACCCAGCGCCACTACTCCCAACACTACTACACTAGGCGTCCTCAGGTGAAGTATACTCTGCAGACCGCTAAAGCACTTACTCTCAAGCCAGTTACTTAGCGTTAATATGTTAAATATGTCAAAAATTAATAAGATCAAAATTATGATGCATTGTTCAAAGGCGAAACAAATGTCGTTTAACTGACGTTGGCATGTTTTTCATAGTGTAGTGGTGTTGGAAGTGATAGTGTTGGGGTTAGTGGTAAGGGGGATTTTTTACGCGTACTTTAGCTGTATGTTTTGTAACAACTTAATTATTGATATCAGGAATAACCTCTTCGTTGATTAATCTAAGTGAGATTTAAATTCTTAGAAGTGGCTTACGACTCTAGTTGAATCAGAGATTTCGACCCATAACAGGCCTCTCACATTTCTGTAAGGAATCGTATTTCAGGTTTATTAGTTGTTTACACTATCTACCTGCTTTTTCTGAGCCAAGCATCGCGATTCCCGACGAATGCCCTTGCAAGTTACATGTGTTGGGCATCACATAACTCACATAGGTGCAGAAATCAATATTGTTGCGCGCCATAATGAATGCCTGGTACATGGCAAGTATCCACTAGCGCCTTTAGTATCGAGTAGCAGAACTAGGAGAGCTTTCTAGAAAATTCCATACTAGAACTGTCTACACCTAGTCAGTCGGGACCGGTATGTATTCAGACATTCTAGATGTTTTAGTAGAAGAGGCCCTATGTAAAACCGGTAACGACCGCGAACGAGTGAATTTGAATTGGCGATTCAAGCGAATAATTCGAAGCGATATAACTGCAAATTAAAGTGAGCAGTTTGATTTATTATTATTATATTTTAAGTTGTAATTGGTATTCGCTAATTAAAGTGTCAATTTGGGTAATTCAACCGGCAGTTTTTATTGTCCCGAACCCCAAACTCGTAACAATTGGGGTCAGAAATGGGATTAAATCATGCCGATTTTACCCAAAGACGACACGGAGGGTATCCGTACCCGAAGTCAACGCCAGCAGGAGACGGACCAGAGACGATTTGGTGGTGCAACGTCCTTCAGCAGCTCCTACATCTGCAGCACCTGATTCGTCGGCTGCAATAGCAGCTGCAGCGCTGCCAGTAGGAACAGGCCCGTTGGTTGGAAGAGCAGCAGGAGAAACAGGCCCGTCGACAAGAGGAACAGGCCCGTAGACAGGAGGAACAAGCTCGTCGGTTGGAAGAGCTGGGTTTCTTATTGATTCTTCTCAAGACAGAGGCTTTTTTCCGCTTAATCACAAGCTTAAATGTCTTTCAAGAAGTATTATTGTAAACTATATTGAATAAAAATTAATGAAATCAAATCAAATATCTTTATTCATGTAGACTTTAAACAAAGCACTTATGAACATCAACATATTATAATAATAATAATTTTTAGTGCACACACTATACTCATACAGAGAAAATGGCTACGACGAAATACGTTTTTTAACTTTTTTTTGTAGAATAAGGGTGACAAACGAGCACTCAGTCCACCTTATGGTAAGAGGATGCTGTGGCCCATAGACATATCTACATTTATCCTTGATTAATAATCGAAATGCAGATGCGTTGTTACCCCTGAGAATTAAGATGGAATGCCTCGTTTCCAGTAAAAAAGGGTCTCCGGATCTCTACACTCACCATACGAAACAGCAGTGTTAAGCCGCTATTTCACGCTGGTATTCTATGAGAGCGTAGTCCTTCCCCGGTCGAGTCGACCCATTCGTGCTACAACCATAATATAGCTACAGCGTCTACCACGTATAAAAACTTACAAAATTTTCCAAATTTGAAAATGAGATTGGGTATGTGTAAAACTGAAAGACATTGAGACCTAGTATCTTTATATTCTGTTCTATTCTATTTTATTCTATATTTGCCTTAATCGCCACACTTGGCAGGTGGAGTAACGGTCGCAGATCCAGACATCTTGCACTTTTAACGCTGCGTTTCGTTTCTCTTCTAGGTATCTTACAAGATTATAATACCGCCGTCATTTGTAAGTCATTGGGATTTCTCATAGTCGCTTCTCATGTCCCGTGGGATGAAATGGAGTGATGGAATCTCTTTCGCCACCAAACAAGCGCGGTATCAAGATCATACTCGTACCAAGACCCTTTTTACTTGGGTTGATTTCTTTTTTTGAACAAATGTAGTATTTTTCCAAAAAGACCAAAAATCTTGTAGTTTTGAGAAATTCAGGAGAAATAAAGTACGTAAATTTTTCAACTTTATGTATTTTTCTATATATATATTTGTTATTGCTCTTTGCTTTGGCCATCAATGATCTAGAACCACCTTACCTTTAAAATTACTATAGACTAGACTAGACTATAGGAGTCTGAGCAATTTAGATTTATATTGATATAAATTAATAATTAATTTTTAATTAAATTACATAATACGTGCTCCATTTCTTTCAATTTTACTTTCATGCCGGAAAAAATTATTTCCGTAAAATTTACTTGTTCCAGACTTCTAATTTAAGAGTTAATGTAAGAAAGCGCGACAATTGAATTAGGAATAAAAATATAGTATTTTTCATACTATATTATTTTTCTATAATATATAGTTCAATACTCAAAACGAGGCATTCCATCTTAGTCCTCAGGGGTGAATATGGCTCTTCATTATGATTCGAAATCGTTAAGAGATGTAGATAGTCATAGAGATGGGCCATAATATCCATCATTCTATTGAACTTATTCTATCCTTATTCTATAAAAATACTAAGTATGTCTATGTTGAATTTTAGAGAGATACGAAAATTGGCGAACGATGTCCAACAGTACGAACAAATGTTGGTGAACTTAAAGAGTGAAGAATCTACGAGCAGGTATTGGTTGCTTTCTTCTTTATCTGTCTACAAGAGTTCGCTTTGCGACATGTTCCATATTAAAGGGTGACTTGCTTTAACTCCACGATTAGCTGGATGATTCGAGATCATTGTACCAAATGTATAATAACTTTGATGAGTTTGAATATACGCCATCGGATGCATAAGTGTCTGGAGACCCTTTTTTACTGGAAGTGAGGCATTGCATCTTGGTCCTCAGGGTCCGGTCATCCAGGTCCAACCATCAGGTGGACTGTGTGCTCGTTTGGTCACCCTAATTCGATTTAAAAAAAACTA